CACACATACACACACCCCTCTGTAGGATGGACCCAGCCACATTATGGGCCTGGTTCCCATTTGCACTATGGCCTCTTTGCACTGGGTAGAGCAGTGTATAGGTGAGTCCCTCCTGACCCGGGTGGCGAGGGGTGTAAGGGGAAAAGCAGCGAGCGACAGGGGTGGGGGGAAGAGGAGTGGATGGGGTGGGGCCTCAGGGGAATGGACAGGGGCAGAGGAGGTTCTGGCACTCCTGCCGGAGTGTCTGGTTTTTAAATATTACCAAGTTGGCAACCCTACTCACATCCCACCTAAACCCTAAAAAGATGGGGTGCCCTAGCTCCCACTACCCCAGCATGGGATCCCCTCCACTGCTCCATCTCACCAGTTCCCTCTCTCCTTTGCCTTCCAGAGTGAAGGGGCACCATACTGGCACTAGAAAAAGGTTCAGAGAAGGGCAACTAAAATGATTAGGGGTTTGGAGAGGGTCCCATATGAGGACAGATTAAAGAGGCTAGGACTTTTCAGCTTGGAAAAGAGGAGACTAAGGGGGGGATATGATAGAAGTATATAAAATTATGAGTGATGTGGAGAAAGTAGATAAGGAAAGTTATTTACTTATTCCCATAATACAAGAACAAGGGGTCACCAAATGAAATTAATAGGCAGCAGGTTTAAAACAAATAAAAGGAGGTTCTTCTTCACACACCGCACAGTCAACTTGTGGAAGTCCTTACCTGAGGAGGTTGTGAAGGCTAGGACTATAACAGCGTTTAAAAGAGAACTGGATAAATTCATGGTGGTGAAGTCCATTCATGGCTATTAGCCACGATGGGTAAGGAATGGTGTCCCTAGCCTCTGTTTGTCCGAGGGTGGAGATGGATGGCAGGCGAGAGATCACTTGATCATTACCTGTTAGGTTCACTCCCTCTGGGGCACCTGGCATTGGCCACTGTTGGTAGACAGGATACTGGGCTAGATGGACCTTTGGTCTGACCCAGTAGGGCCGTTCTTATGTTCTTATGGTGAAAGGGAGTGGTGGAAGGGGGGGCTGGAAGGCAGGAAGGAAGCAGAGGAAATAAATGGAGG